CACCCACCCACACACCCACACACTCGCATACAGAGTGGTACCCAAAGTAGGCCCATTTCTGTCTACTAAAATACATTACAACAGGGGAAAGCTATTCATACTTCCCCAGGTCAAACGGACATGTGAAGCTCCTGCATGTCAGGCAGTGTAACAAAACTGGAACAACACTGTAATGAGCATGTCTGTTATATATTGTATTCAGTCTCACAAGACCAGGGGTATATATATATATATATATATACACACACACACACACATATATCCTGTACATCTGGGTACAACATTTGGCTAAAATGTGCTGAAAACAAAGTCTGAAAGTTCTACAATGTATTGTTAAGGCAGCATTAAAAAGTGTGGGCAAGATTGGCAGCTCGACAGTGGAGATTCACAACATTTCATTTTCACAACCACAGTTTAAGTGTTAAGTTTTCTGCAGGTTTATGGTGGTATATAACATAACATATGGCATTACACTAGTGAGTGTGCTTACCTGACAGGTGTGGTGTTGCCTCCGGCCTGGCTGTCCTCCTCTGCATCTTGCTGTCTGTGCACCTGCCTGACACGACTGAACACTGACGGGCTGCTGGGAAATGAAACACCAGAGTAACCTCCAATTTTTATTTTATTTTTACAACCAGCACTCAAATTTCTTCTAAAGTGGTTACAGAATTATTCATTAGTGAGTCCAGAATTGTCAGTAGGCGAATCAAATCATAAAATATGCCGTCACTCCCACGTTTGATCAAAATCACTGGTACATAAGTTACAAACTGAGTTAAGAGTTTTTACCTGCAGAAGTAGATTAGTAGTAGCTTTTGAATATCAAAATTAATGTACCTGCTGTCATCAAGGCAATATGTGTCAAAATGTAGATTTATAGGTTTTAGAGCTCGATCAATATTACACTGTAGAGCCAATCTATTAAAATATGCCTGGCCGGCCCTGATACCGATCCTTAGGATCAACTCAGGACAGCTCGACCTCAAACATATCTTTCTGTAACTGTCTGTAATTTCTTATTACTCATCAGCCATCATACACACTGATACTGATATATCTCTGATAAGTTGGCTGGAAATATCTGCCATGCTGACACATCAGTTGGGCTCTGATAGATTTATGAAAGAAAAATCCTGCCTCCCTTTGTCAGACTATGGCCTGTGAGCAGAAGTGCCTTTTCCAGCAGCTATTACCCATAACTCTGCCTGCTGAAGTCAAAGACACTTGTAAATATCCCAACACATCTGTGTAATTATGTGTGAAGCAATACTGGGAGGTTAAGGTGGGTCCTTAAGCTGCGTTTCATTCTCAAAAGGCTGAGTGAAAGGCAGTGCCACTTATAAAGGAACTCAGTTAAAGTGCATAAAGAGAGAGTTCCACGTTACCTGGTTACAGCCTTGGCAACAGAGGAAGTCTTTACCACAGATCCATCCTCCTCTGATAGTGCTGGCTCTGAGGAAAGAAACGAATTACTGAGAGGGTGACGAGAGCATGCTGCGTCTCCATGGATACCATCTTGTCACTCCCTAGAAGATGCGTGCGCTCAGGGCTGAGCGTGAACGTGTGAGGGAGGAAGAAACGGCTCTTACTCTGCAGGCTGAAGCGCTCCGAGCTGCCCTCTTCGACGGGAGTCACCAGCTTCATCCTCAAACTCAGCTTCCCGTCTCCCTTTTCCGCCGTGTCCTCCCCGCTGTCCCCCGACACAATGTCGCTGGCTGCCATTGCCACATCTGCAGAGACATCACCCACCACGCCTGACTTCTCAGAAAAGGAAGTGATCTCTGGAGAATAAAGAAAAACATTTCAGAAGATCGGTATCGGATCATTTACCGCTACTTGACATTCAATAGACAAGTTAACGTGCTGCTTCGGTTAGTTCAGAACAAGAACCAACCAATGGGAGTGCTGTGTCTTAGCGTCTGCTTCAGCTGGTTGATTAGAGGGGGAGTGGCACCGACAACAGGCCCAATCAGCTCCCCTTCTTTAGGAAGTGTGAAGTGGAAGGAAATTTCTGTAGTAGAAAAGCATAATTGGACTCAGATGAGATCTATTTCAGTGCATGTTTCCTGTTAAAGCCAAATATCCTCGAGTCACAACGTGTCTCTACCTCCTCCGACACTCAGCTGCCACCTCTCTGTGCAGACTAACGGTTACAGAACATTTCAGTGGTTTAGATGTCGACAAGCACCAGTGTTTTAAAGCAATCCCTGTAATACGTCGCATTCAAGGGAGAATCTAACCCGCTATGCTAGTAAGAAAAATAGCTCCCTTTTTTTTAACATGAAAGAAGTATCTCTTTGCGACCCCTCATCATGTGTGTAAATATTAAGCAATTCATTAAAAGAGTTCCCAAATGTCTTAACTAAAATCATTTTTAGAGTATTTCACATGAAGCAAATAGTAGAGAAAAACAGAATGTGTTTTATCTCACAACCCCCTGTAGAGTATATCGGTGTCCAGCTTACCTCCCGAGCTATCACTCAGGCTCTTGTCTTTGAGACCCTCTGGTTCAGGACCCGTCCTCTCAGTCTGGGACAGCCTATCGGGAGCCAAGTGCACCTTTTTGGCCTGAGCCTGGGACTCATGGCCGTTGGTGGAGACGGACACCTTGCCTCTGATTGGCTGGGAACTGTTGGTCTTTGACTGTGGCGTCACATCTTTCTGAAGGATCTGAGAGTCTCTGTCGCTGTCTGTAACAACGATGACACTGTCCTCTCCTCTGTCTTCACTCTCCTCGTCCATTGGCTCAGGAGACAACAGCTGGCTCTGGGAGAGAAACAGAGCCATTCCTGAGGCCCCGCCTCCCACTGTGCTGTCCCCCTCCTCCATCACCTCCTCCCCCTCTGCTTCACCCTGCTCACATCCATCCGTCGTACCTTTGACTGTTTTGTTACCAACAGTTCCACACTTCTGTGATGATGATGATGATGATGATGATGATGATGATTGTACGGACTGACTCTTTGCAGCTCCTCCTCCTCCTCTCACATCTACTGAACCCTTCACCACATCCACAGCAGATGTCTGAGAGATCATAGACTGTGAGGGCAAACTGCAGGGTGTAGTGTCCGAGGGAGTCTCCTGCACACAGCTGTTAACAGTCAGATCAGAGGAATCAAACTTTGGTTGAGAGCAGGACACAACGTCAGCAGAGCTCGCCTCTTTGCTGTCACTCTTACTGTTTTTTACATTCACACTTTGTACATTCAAAGAAGTTGCTGTTTTATTGTGCATATCAGACTTTTGCGCCAGACTGGACTTGGGCTGCTCGTTCTTGGCACATTCGCTGCCATGCTTTGGCGAGCCAGCAGAGGTGGAAGCTTTGGAACTGGTGGCAGTTTGTGACCCTGAAGGGACGCTGTTGCTCTCGCTCTTCTGATCGCAGTGTGAATTCACAGAGTCGCTGGTGTCGACGCCGGGCGGCTCGTCCAGTTCCTCTATCTGCGTGGCCTGGCTGTCCTCCTCAGCATGTTGTGAGGTCTGCTTAGCTTGGCTACTGCTCTCCGTGTTCACAGAGAGCTGCAAAGGCAAAGTGAAAGGAGCTGACTCCAGACGTTGAGACTGTGTCTCGCGAGGCAATGATGTCGTCTTCTTATCTGACTGTTGTGGTGCCTCCTGACTTTGCGTTGGGACAAACACGTCCTGACAAAACAGAAAAAACAAACTATCAGGAACTAGGGCTGCAACCTGAGGAGCCAAAGTGACGGCTTTAATTACCTTGTTTTGTCCAGAATCATAAATGCATCATATTGCAACTTACACTGATATAAATCAGACAGAAGCAGAAAAGTTTCCTTAATAAACGCCTGAAAATATTTAGCAATTATCATAATTGTTGACATGAGGCAAGTCACAAATAAACAAATTAGTGCTAAAATAATAAGTCAATTAAAGTTTACCCCAGAATCAAAAATACATACTTTTCCTCTTAGCTGTAGTGCTATTTTTCTATATAGATTGTTTTGGTGTGAGGTGCTGAGTTTTGGCGATACCCTACAGCGAAGAGGCAAATGTGAACTGTTCTTTAAAGGAATTAGTCAATCAAAGACCAAAACGATTAATTGTTAATAGATAATAGTTGGTTGGACGAAGCAAAACATCAGTGGATGTCAGCTTGGGTTCTTGGAAACTGTGATGGGCAATTTTACGTAACAATGAACTGATTGATTTATAATTCAGTGATAATGAAATCCATCATGATAGACGCTGTGTGTTGCAACTCTAAAACTAAAAAGTTAATACTGATTAAAAGGAAAAAATAAAGTACATACATGAGAGAACTCTGGCTGGGACGGTAAAGAGAGAGTTCGCTCTAACACAAAACCAGGTGAATTCTGGGATACCGGCGTAGAGGCGGATGGGTGTGGCTTTGAGGCAGCTTCTGTTTCCATTGGCTCTTCCTTTCCCCCTGCTCTTTCTTCAGGGGGCAGTGAAGTATCCATGGGTTCATCAGCACCTGACAAAGCACATTCATTTGAGCTCCATTTACCAGCTGACCTTCTCCCTCAATTTAAATCAATCACTGAGGGAGGTTAAGTCATTTACCGTGTTCACTCTCTGGTTCAGTTGGTGAGCTGGGAACAATTAAAGGGGTGTGGGTGAAGTTGTCTGGGGTGGGGGCAACATAGTCAACAGAGCTCCTAGGAAGAAAAAAAGGGCAAAGAGAGCAGAATATCAGGTCAGTTTCAAGGTTGTGCTTGTGTGTGTGGATAGGGTAACTCCATATGAGAGCACTCTTCTGACTTACTGGGAGAGACTTTCCTGCACCAGTGTTCCCTGTCCTGACAGGTGCAGCAGTCGCAGGGTGCTGGCCGGTGTTGGGGTGGGGTGACCCTGCTGCTCCGGCTCAGACACTGTGCTGTCTACTGCGGCACCTGAGCAGCACAAAGGTGACATATGAGACAAAGAAAACACAACAATCCAATGTTCAACTTGTATTAACCATCTCCTATCTTACTGGCACGACTGTACCTGGCTGTAAAACAGACCGAACTGATAACCTGTGTGAGGTTTTCATTGGACAGTGCAGAGTTAGTTTTATATTGCTGAATGTGCTTTTCTGTAATCCAGAAACCACTGGTTCCCATTATTCAGTATAGTATGAAAATGTACTTGCAGAGACTTGCACCATGCTTTATTTTAGTCAAAGTTTGGTTATTTTTATCTTTCTTATTTCACCTTTATTTAACCAGGAAGTCCCTTGATACTGAAATCTCTTTTCCAAGGGAGACCTGGCCAAGACAGCACCCCAGTTACAGTCAAATAGTAATAAAGACTATTAAAAAGGAAAGGACTAAAGGACTAAAATGCTCAAAAATGCAGTTGCATTCCTCAGTTACATGTGTTAACATGGTCTTAAATAATAAATATGTAACGGCAGTTGAAAACATAATAGCAAAAAACAAATGTGACAGAGTAACAATGAGAAGATACCCACACACCCAGGACTGGGGTGTAACTTAAGGGTGTCCCGCCAGTCCAAGGACGAAAAAAATTGATCAAGGATGATAACAGACAAGGTCACAGAATGACACGGCAGTTTCTCTTTTTAAAGTGCCAGTGTGGGCCAAGTATTTACCTGTCTTGTCAGCATCAAACATGTCCTCCTGGGAGGATAGGATCTCACAGTCCTGCTGGTTCTGCTCACCAGAGGCCTGCAGGCCCTGTGAGTGCAGCAGAGCCTGGACGCTCAGTTTCCTGCCCGACTGACCCGGAGACTCCAACGAGCTGCTGGAGCTCACCTCCGATCTGGGGGAGGAACGAAAAGAAAAAAAAACACCTTTCAAACCTGATCAGACCAGTTATAGGACTCTAATGAATGCAGCAGTCAGAGACCACATGCAGCTGTACCTCACTGCTTTGTTGTCCCGACTCTCTGAAGTCCTGGGGTTGATGTTCTGCTCTGCTGGTGATAAAAAGAAAGCATAAGTTAGACTGACTGTTTCAGCCATTTGATGTCGGAACTAATGCTCTGATCAGGTACGTAATAATGAACTATTACACTCAGCTGTCACGCTGCGTCCAATGAGATTAGGATTGTATTTCTGCTCCAACCCACACACTGTATGTACCAGCAGCATCATTAGTACCATGTATGCCTGAGTGGTTCCCCTAGAGCAGGTTTATACTTGATCCCTGCATCTTGAGCTGATTAAATAGTTACCACACAGCTAAAAAACAAAGTCTAAATGTAAATAAGATGCACTGGAGCCAGGGACAAATGTCCTCCATGTCATAGTTTCACAAGGGATGAACACCATTCTTCTAAAAGATATTCTACCCATCCTACACACAGGCTCAGGGTTGGTGCATTTAAAGACTGAGAAGCATTTTATCTGGCAGCCATTGTTTGACTACATTTACTTGAAATTCCCTGCCAGAAATACTAAAACTGATTTAACTGACTGATAATCTCTGTAATATGTGTAACAGCAATTTGTATTTTTCATTTGGTTTTCATTTTCTCCATGTCCTGTGGATGATAGATGTGTGATGAGTCCTGGTGACTTTGGCAACCATACATATATAACATATACACCTTATTTCTATTCTCACCAAACCATTCAGTGACCTGTAGGGTCCTCTATGGAATCATCTGCATCTGTTATGTTTCTTCACTCATTTATTCAGGATATTCAGGATCTTCAGGATCTTCCTTTTATCGGGCAGATTCAAATTGAATTTCCTAAATTACCCAGGTAGGAAATTGGAGATGTGCAGGTCATGTTCTCCGTATTGAGTCAAAGGACATTAAAGGCCTAAATAACAATGAAATACAAAAAGCATCTATAAATAAAAGCCTTAATACCTGATTTGGTGCGTGTCTCGCTGTCTGGCTGACGTACGCTGTTGTCTTCCTCCCGACTGTTCACAGCTTCACCGCGCAGATCCTGACTCTGAGAAAGCTCGAGAAAACCAAACTGAGATGTTCCCTCTGAAACACAGACATAGAGACGTCCCTTAATAACACATGGGGTAATATTTCATAACTGGACGAGGATGTTAGACAGAGCTCCTACCTTCAGACTGAATGCAGTGTGTGGTAGAATCAGCTCCAGACTCCATATCAGTGTCGTCACACCTGAAAGAACACAAAACAAGAGTAAAAGCACTGTATCACTGCCTAACCCGGAGCATCCATCAACAGAAAACGTCCCCACATACTTGTTTTTGTTGGGAGGAGGGCAAATGTTCAGAACTTGACTCTCCTCCTGGAAAGCTGAACTGGGGTTGGTCGCCATGAGAATGCCTAAAAAAAGAAAACAGCATTGTTTTTTTGTTATTTGTATACAGGATAAGTGATATCTATGTACCTGCTGCATCCATGTTATTAGAGGAGCACTGACCGGGTTCAGCCTGGTTGTTACTCTGGGAGCTCTCTGATTGGCTGTCAGTCTGAGAGCATCTGCTTCCAAGTGGGGAGGATATCAGTTCCTGGAAATGGAAAATCTTCACTAGTTTCACAAAGCAACAAACTACATATAACATTGATTCTAACTTTTAGAAATAATAAGGGGAATAGAAAATATGTTGTTATTAGTGAGGTTCCCTCTGTCGCACTGGTGAGGCAAAAAAGGAAAGGTTCAGATTTAAGGATGGATGGTGAGCAGTGAAGTGTGCCTGTCTACTAAACAAGCTCATTAAAGCCATACAGCTAATAATGAAGGACACTTATTCACACTGATTTAAGGGGTGTCTGCTTGCTTTGTCTCAGTCACTACACTGTAATTTATCAGGTTGACAGGAAAATAAGATCAAACCTAAAACTTAAAACAAAATAAAACGATTCAACTGTGTTTGGAAAGGATCGCTTTTACACTAGCATGGAGGGAAGAGGTCTAAATTTAAATTCTGATGACAGATATGTGACAGACTGCTGACCTGTCAACCACAATAAATCATCAAAGAGATCTACTGCAACTTGTCCACAGTGTACCCTGGATGGATGGATGGATGGATGGAGGGGTGGATGGATGGATGGATGGGTGGAGGGA